CGGGAATTTTAAACTAACCATTTTACTTTTTAAAATCACTATTTGTTTTAATTTTTTTTTAAAAATAAGATTTTCAGATTTTGAAAATGTATGAAATTTATTTCGGAACAAGATTTTAGAATAATTTTTACAAAATGTATATAATATGTTAGTGTGGGTTGTAATTAGTAATTGTAGGAGTGCAGGAAGAAATAACTAATGGATTTTGCTCAAGGCAATAAGTAACTTGTGGCCTTTCCGAAGCCCAAAAGAACAAAAGCCTTGTTCGATATACCCTCCGAGTTTACGGCGTCGTTTGCCGCGTCTTCCCCAAAACCCTTTTGTTTGTGATTCTGCGTTGAGGGTTTGAGAGTGGGGTTGCAGCCATAACCGGGGCTGGGAAAATGGTTCTATCAAACAAGAAACTGAAGCTTAAGCTCAGAGCTGAATTGGCCCAACAACAGAATAATATCAACGAAGTTCCTTCATCTTCGAACTCTCTCAAATCTCTTTTGGACGCTGCCACCCCCACACCCAGATTGTCCAAGCGAGACAAACACCGAAAGCTTCGATCTTCCGAACACCCTCCAAAAGAAGCCAACAAGGAAACTGAAACTGAAACAGAGGGTTCAGCCAATAAGAAAAACAAGAAGAGAAAGAGGAAGGTAGAGGGCGATGACGTGGCAAATGGAGTTCCCGACAACACACCACAGAAAAACAGCAAGAAGAAGAAAAAGAAGAAGAAGCTGAAGAAGAACAAGAAAAAGCCCAAAACCGCGGAGGAAAATGGCTCTAATGGTGGAGGGGAAGTGCCTGAGGCTACAGAGTTAACCAAGACCAATACAACTACCAGGTTATAATAAAATTATTACATTATGAATAACGCTGTTTCATATGAGTGAGATTTTTGTTTTATAATGTTTGCGTTCTGTGATGTGTATTCAGTCAAGACAATGGTGATGTTCCTACAAAGGTTTATGTTGGAGGAATTCCTTATTATTCAACCGAGGATGATATTCGAAGTTATTTTGAAAGCTGTGGCACCATAACTGAAGTTGATTGCATGTATTTTCCTGAAAGTGGCAAGTTTAGAGGGATTGCCATTATTAGTTTTAAGGTGAGTGACGAATAATGCACTATTCCTGAAAGTGTTACTTTATTTTTGGTGTTCTTCAATTTCGACTTGAATTGAGAAACCTCTTTTTTAGGTTATTTCTTCTTCCCTCACTAGTTATGTTATTTCTTAAGTTTATACTTCACTTTGGTAGTAATAAGCATGTCCATAACTTTCTGACAATTTTGTGGCACTTTTCCTGCAGACCGAAGCAGCAGCTAAACGGGCATTGGCTCTTGATGGAGCTGACATGTTAGTAACACTGGCAATTTTCTTTCTTGCTTTCGTGATTTACTGTTTTTGCGCATTTCTCATGAAACATTAATGTGTAACAGGGGAGGACTCTTTCTTAAAATCCAGCCATATAAAGCAACGCGAGCCAATAAAACATCGGATTTTGCTCCAGAAATTTTGGAGGGGTACAATAGAGTATATGTTGGGAATTTGTCATGGGATATAACCGAGGAAGAACTGAGGAAATTCTTCAATAATTGTGAGATAACGTCTATTCGATTTGGTATGGATAAGGAGACGGGAGAGTTTCGAGGGTATGCTCATGTGGATTTCGGTGATAGTCAGTCACTGAAAACAGCACTTACATTGGACCAAAACGTTTTGTTTGGGAGACCTGTCAGGATAAGTTGTGCAGTTCCTCTGATGAAAAAACCAGGAATTCGTAACAGCTCGGCAGTTAATGAAGCTAATGGTGATAAATCAACTTCCTCAGGAAGTGGCAAGATGAATGGAGCTGATGGTGATAAATCAAGTTCCACAGTAAGTGGGAAGATGAAGAGAAGGACGTGCTATGAATGTGGTGAGAAAGGACATGGTTTTTCGGAATGTCCTAAGAAACAAACAGGTGCTGCAACTACAACCTAAAGCATGTAGGAAAACTCAAACAGGTCAAGGTTCTTGTTACATTTGATTGTAGTTTATAGAATACCATAGTGCTGCATTCATAGATGATCGGGATTTTCAGTTTCTTACTTCCCCTTGTTATTTTGGTAATTATTTTTCCCTCTTAAAATGGAAATTTTGTGTTTGCTGTAAGAAAAGGAAAGTAGCAGATGAAAAAGTTACTAATAGTTTGAGATTTTGTTCACCGATAGATAAGACAATTTGGTGCGAATTAACAAACAGCAAATTCAAGCTTTCTTTTGTGTAGCATCTTATCCTGGTTATCCTGGTTGTATCCTCATATTTAGATGTCTCCATTATCCTTGACTAGTTTTTTCTCATTCACGAGAAGATTTCTGAGCTTTGTACTTGTAAGGAAGATGAAAGTTTTATAAACGAATAAAAACTGAAGCACAGAACATGGAGGTGACAAGCCATTCGTTCAGAGAGAGAAAATTGGCAGAGTGGAGGTGAGAATGGAGAAAATCATACTTGTGGATGACGTAGTGATATTTTTTTTTGTAATAAACAAGGATGTATGTGTTTGAAAAAAAATATTAATGTGATTATCAGTAACTAAGAAAATGACAATCATGCGAAGAAAGTTTGATTAGTCAATCGGTGCACGTTTAGGTGACAAACAAAACTTTGGTCCCTAAAGTCATAAAAAAATTGAAAATGGAACCAACTAGTTTTAGGTTTTATAATGAATTATAAAAGATTTTGTATCGAATTCAAACTCGGATTTAATTGAGGACCCCAATTATCAAAGCAAGAATGAATTAACATGTAACTAATAGATCCTGCTACTTTATATGTCTCACTTTTCTCATCTCTCTTCTAGTAAACACATTAACTTTTTCATTAATCTTAAAAATGGATTACAGATTATCATATTCTCCTTGCACTGCTTCTGTGTAATGAATGTGCACCTAGCATTTCAAGAATCAACGACTACAAGATTGAAAAAAAATGATTAGATAGTTGATTAATCTAATGAAGAAGATTTGTCTTGTGATGGTTATCACGTGACAGATACGAATGAGGGGTCTCCCTCCAAGTTTCTGCTTCCAATTCTGCATAGTACCTTAAAAGAAACTTATCCAAGCAATTATTATGGCTACTGCTTCAATGTCTGACAGTGATTCTCTGTATTTGGAAGGAAACTGTAGGATCTTACATCCAGTCACAAATCTAAGGGTCGATGTTTTTTTTATTGCATATAATTTCTTTTTTCTGGCTAGGATTTTATGCAGTGACATAAGAATCAACACCCTGCCATGCCAAAGCCAAATCAGTTCGAAGATTTCAAATGAAGAATAAAAATATGACTGAATTCCTAGAAAAACTTACCTGTTCATCATTGATCACAATCAACTCACTGAAAATGAAGTCTGGGTGATTCTCACATTGTCAGGAAGATGGAAGGATTCAAGAGTTATCACTCGTATTAGAGAAAAATATACAGAAAATTAATTAACAAATTGATCCCTCAAACTGTTTTCTTCTACTATTACTCTCTGAATATGAAATTTGTATCAATGAAAGGACTACATTGTACATGGTTTTCTAAACTCAGGAACTAACTCATTCAAGGACTAAACAGCATGTGAACATATATTTCTGGACTAAGCTGTTAATCTGAGAGAAAAATACAGTAAGGTATAAAATCGAGTCAATATAACTGCTTACACAGGCTTCTGCACACAGTACACACACCCTTTTGAGCAAAGTTACAAAATCATTGTTATTCAATGACCATAAAATGTTTGCTCATTATCTTACTGTTGTTTTAGAAGTGGTGAACTGGGCTCGACCCTCTTGAATTTCTACTACAAGTACTTTCATTTTTGTTCTTTTCTACAGTTGTGAACTCTAAGAATACAAGTGGTCAGACATCTTCTCTTTCATGATGACAAATAACACACTCCTCCCTCTTCTCCATGCAATTTGCTGTCTGCACTCTGCAGTGATATTGGAACGTAGTGGTTCCAAATAGTGGCCCGTTAACTTGTTCTGTGCATTGAAGGGCTCAATGCAAATGCCACGCTGTGCCTGTCTACAGTTTCTTCTTTTGTTTCCGATTTATTCCCTGTCACACGTAAGCTTTCATCATTCATCTCATCTCTCTCTCACCACCACCTGCTTTCTCATTCGCTTTCTGCCACTGTACTCTTTTCATTCACACGCCATTTCAGCTTCAGAGAAGAGTGAAACAGCTTGAGACATAGCGTGACCAAGTGGTTTTCCTACACAGATTATACTGCATAATCACCATAAATATCTATCTAAAGTTTTTCAGGAGAGAAGTGACAGAGTAGGTGGACAGGGAAAAAAGTACTTATTTGTTGGATTCTAATTGTTTAAGAAGATTTTTAAGAGTTTTCTTTATTTACAAATAAAGTGAGAGTATGATTTGCAGTACAAGGCAAAAAAAAGTCTGCATGGGGATGTTAAAATGTATCAACCCAATCCCTCCTATTAAAAAACATCTCGATACTATATTTTTTTTATATAAAAAAGACTTTCTTTTTCCTATAATAAATAGAACATTCTAAAAGTTTATTAAACCATTTAAAAGAAGGTAAAATTTGGTCTTTTTTACTATGTCCTATGGACTAAAACAACATACTCAACATGATAAATTGCCTTCAAACTTGATTACTAACGTTTTTGTCATGCAAAATAAACCCCTTATTACGACTTATGCTTCACCAACAAGGAAGGTTTTTGTTACTTACTATGCGTGCCAAGAGTGAAGGCACCAAATGATACTTAATGATTCAGAATATTTTATTAGTTTTCTTCTTCTTGTAATCCGTGTGACACGTTTTTTAGTGTTTGAGAATGATCTAATGTCTCACATCGACAAAATCTTTATCTTTACACCGTCATTGAGTTCCTCCATAACACGGTTGAAGAATGCCTTGCCGTTTGATCAGTTGGTAGTAGTAGTTTGAGGTTCGTTGTTTTCTCTGGTCGTTTAAATTTTCTATGTAAAGGAACAGTGAGTTAGCCATTTTTATAATTTTATTTTGTGCACGAAGTTCTGATTAGTTTCCGCACAATCTGCGTGGTTGCCGAAACTAGTCCATTTTTTTCCCTGAAAGCAGTGCGATGGTTTCACGGGACAACTTTTGACTTCATACGAATAAAATGAAAAATTTGTCCTGAGCTCACTTTGGTCCGTGAGCAAGTACCATGATTGATATTTCATATTGATAAACACCATTTGACCCTTAACTTGCAACTATAGTAGTAGCATCTCTTTAATATTATAAGCTCAAAAACAGGTTTGGCATCTTGCCGTGAAATGTATGCAATTGCATGCCATGCCATGCCACTTGCTGGTATTGGTACATGAAAGCTCATTATTAGCCAAATGCAAACAACAGCCACTTTCCCTCATGCTGGCCCATTTCATTATAAATGCCAACAATCTCTCTCACTTCAGTACCTGAATTGAGACCACAATTCCACACACCCATCTTCCCATTTCAGATAATAACACAAACCTTCTCATTCTGCACTCACAAAATTTGGCTCTCATTTCCTCCATTTGCTGTTTTTTATTCTTATTTTGTTAAGGGAAAAAAATGGTAGAAAGAGAAGCAGGTTCTGAGAGCTCCAAAATGTGGACTGAACCAAAACATCAAGCTACCGAGCTCAGAGTTCCAGTAATATACTACCTTTCCAGAAATGGCCAGCTCGAGCATCCACATCTCATGGATGTTCCAATCTCATCTCCACAAGGAGTGCTATGTCTTAAAGGTAAATGCTACCAGGAAAATAGAGTTGCTAGCTACTGAATTTGAGTTATAATTCACTATTTCTCTTGTATATTCACCCTCTCGTTCTCTTCAGATGTGATAGATAGATTGAGTTTTCTCCGGGGACAAGGAATGACCGCAATGTATTCTTGGTCTACAAAAAGGTACATTTCTATTCTATCTCCTCACGTGTGTATTCGAATGAGATGAAAAGATTTGTGCTTTGATAGTAGTAGAAGAACATTACATTCTTAAAGTGAATGGGAACACGTGTTTATTTAGTTCACTCACAAGCTCAAACTTCTTGCAAATAACAATGATAACGAGATTTTTCTTCGTAGGAGTTACAAAACCGGGTTTGTGTGGCAAGATTTGTCTGAGAATGATTTCATTTACCCGAGTGGTAGCCATGAGTATGTCCTGAAAGGGACACAGATGATAGAAGCTTCTTTGAGCTTTCGATCCTGTGAGACAATATCAACATCAAGCTCCAAAAGTTCGACAGAAGCAAACAATTCTAGCATGGATGCAGATTCCCCTGCAACCGTAAAGGGTAGAAGCCAATCATTTAACTCGAGTGATTACAAGTTTTACAGGGCAAAGACGTGCGAGGAGTTTGCAGGGAAAGCCACCAATGCCTCGACTCAGACAGAGGAGAAGCGTAGGGAAAGGATAAAATGGGAGAAAGTAGAAGAGTGTAAAGGAACTGATGATGCAAGGGTTGGTGAAAATGAAGGATCTTTACGATTTTCAAGTTCTAGTTTTGGAGCGTTGGAAGGGTCTTTGAAGGGTTACGATTCAGCAGACATCAGAAACCAGAGGGTTGAGAATGAACGTCCAAGTGGGAGGATCAAGGCTTCAGAAGTTCTCATGCAGTTCATCAGATGTGGATGATGTCAAAGGTTCATGAGTACGAATTAGGAACTGTTAATCACTCAAATTGGTATGATTATGCTGCTTCTAGTTCAGTTAGAAATGGAACAATGAGTTGAGTGACTTGTTGCCATTGAAACATCTATCCTTTGTGTTGTCCCTTTAATCAAATTAGACATGTGATGACATGATTATTGCTCCTTCTATTTTTGTCGGCACCCAACGTTGTTGCATCACCATTTGTCAGCAGTAAAATTTGTTGAATTTACTCAAATTTAATAATCTAATAAAAGGTAGTTCACAATTAAATGGAATTTGTCGAATTATCTTTCATTTCAAATTCTTTTCACAGATTAAAATTCTTCATCCAAAGATTCTGCAAGTTTGTAGTCATCTGCTATGTCTTTATTTCCAGAGTTCTGCTCCAGAATGTCTTCTATTGAACCTTTCGTTCTGATATTGTTATGAACATCTGACCTTGAAAAAATATAGCTGGAACGAAGTTCAACTCTTCTGTCTAGAGGCCTGCCTTTAGAGGTAGGGTGGCTTTTTACTCCCAATCATATATATATATATATATATATATATATATATATATATTTGAAATTAACATAGAAATAAGTTGAAATTTAGTTCTATGATATTTTATGTTTAGAAGTTTTGAGTGAGTTTACTTTCAAAACTAATTGTAAATTATTTTAACCCCAATGATTTTTTAATATTCAAAACGAGGCAAATCTATGAAAAAAACTTGCAAAATATTAAGTGGGAGACTACTTTTTGCATTCATAATTTCGGATTTTATATCATTTAAAAAGGCTAAAATATGAAGAATTTTAAAAATATTAGTCTATTTAATATTAATTAAGATCACTGAGTATTCTAATTTAAATTAATGATATGTGCACATGTATTTATTTACATTATGTACAACTTTTCGAAGAGAAAAATAATATAAGAGCTCGAAAATAATGCAAAGCCCGTCTAGCTCAGTTGGTAGAGCGCAAGGCTCTTAACCTTGTGGTCGTGGGTTCGAGCCCCACGGTGGGCGTAATTTTATTATTCTGTTAATTTGCTTTAAAACAGTAACCATTATAGTGTTCCTGAATTAATTATTTTCTCTTTCTTTACTAACTTTTTATTGGCTACCTGTATTAATCTGAAAAGTCAAAAGATACTGCTCCATAAGAAATATTAAAGCTAGCTTTTCATATTATTTTTTCATCAAGTGGATTAAAAGCAAATAGAAAAAATTCAGTCCTTCTGATTATCACAGTTTAGTTCAAACGATTTACCATGTTCAAATCACAAATTATCTATCATAGTTTATTTTTTTTTAATGAACTTAAAGGTGTTTGTTGGTTAGTTAAGAATTAATATTTTATAATATTTAACCTTTCACCAGAACATTATCATAACGAGAAATTACATTTTTTTTATAAAATTTAAAACTATACTTTTTAGAGGTTAAATATTATATTTTTGGATCAGTTTCAATGCAAATTAGCATTCTTTTCACTTGATGGATAGTTTTTCACCCTTTATAACCGATTTTAAATTTTTTAAACATGAATGTTTTTTCTGGAATCCAGAAGTGAAGAGTGCTCCTAATTTATTTATTTTTTTCATTTTATAAAATCGCAAAAGCAGTAATAAGAATGTCAAACTATTTCCTAGTGGTGCTAGCTAGAATTGAGAATATGCAGGAACTAAAAAACAGATGAGAAATTGATTTAAAACTATTCACTCGTGTTAATAATTTTATCCAAATGTTAAAATAAATTAATACCCAATATAGTTTTAATTTAAATAGTAAAACTTTTGAAATAAACAAACATTATAATTTAAGCCTTGTATTCCAAGAGAGGATATATATATATATATATATATATATATATATATATATATATATATATATATATATATATATAATTTATTGTTGTGTTGAAAAATAAACCTATTGATATTTTTAAATGAACTTACACGTATATAAGCTAGGTCCAGAGACCGTGATGATGATGTGAAAACAGAAATGGTCTAACAATGTAGTAAATGAAAATGATATTTTGAAATGAATATCAGAGACACGAAGATGCACGAATGGAATGAAAATGGTAATTGGTAAAACGACCAGAGAAATAAACAAGAGGGTTTCATGTTTCTGATAGTAAAAAAAACATTTACCGAGAGATGTTAAAAAAAATTATTTTCAGTTTTTATATTTTAAATGCTAAAGTTACCAGTTGGCTAAAGTGATTTGAAAAGTAAAAATTAAAAGGAATTGAAAGAGCATAACCAAGGAAGTGTTGAATTGTTCATGACATGTCCATTTACGACAGAAACTAGCGGTCTCGTCTCATCGAACTATTTTAATTTCTTTTTATAATTTTATTTTTTTACATTCTTTGATTCCCTTCACTCCACCTATATATATACATATATGGATATTACACCTAGCATTAGTTACTCACAAATTCTGCTTCGTTCTTTCTTTCACCCTTTCTCTCTATGCTTTACTACTTCATTCATTCATCTTTTTCATGTTATATAAATACTCTGCAATTTGCTCATACACTTTGATTCTTGTTTGGTGGAGTTGAAATCTGGGTGGTGATTAATGGGTTTTGTTTCCCTTTTCTGATTTTGCTTTGCTTTGGTGTTATTCTGCGTTGTGAATATATACTGAATGGGTTCCATCAGAGGAATCAAGAAGAGGAAGAAGGCTGATGATAAAGATGGCCAAGATGCCTCTGCCACCCCATTCGATTGGTGGCAACATTTCTCCCTCAGAATTTCAGGTACACTGCAATATCCTTTCTTGTTTGTGATTGGACATGTTTGTGTGATAGTCTGTTACTTATTTTTCATTGTATATCAAAACTTCTAGTTATTATTATTATTATTATTATTATTATTATTATTATTATTATTATTATTATGATTATCTGATGTAGGGCAAAAAAGTTATGTGCTTTTTGGTAATGGGTAGGATTATAATGATTCGGGATTTGTTTCTTCAAGCTTAATAAGTTACTCATCATTCGTTGAATCTTTGTTTTCTCTGCTTGACTTTCATATTCATGTTGCTCTTATGGGGCATACATCTTTGATGACTTACTTGATAAAGAAAGTGACCCCATGCTTTTGACCAAAATGTGCTTCTTACAAGGAATGTATCTCTTACTTAGAAACTGTAGTAGACTTTGGTTATAATTTTGTTGAATCGTGTTTGGTTATCATATATCTGTTTGGCTAGTTGCTATTTGTATCTTAACCTTCCAAATTGTGAAACTTCTGGTATGGTGTCACCACGTAATTAGACCATTGGCGGGATCCTGGTTGTAGGTATAAACACAAGAATTATATTTGTTATCTTTACTTGTTGCAGTTATCCACTTACACAACAATCTGGGTATTTTATGCATTGTTTTCACGTGAATTGTGCAGCTTCTTTATCTTGTTATGCATTGAATTCAGTCAATACTCATTTTGACTTTCAACCCATTTCTAAAGATCTTTCTTCCTTTACTCTAGCTTTTCGTCTCTTCCCAATGCCTGCTTTGAAGAGTCACATAATTTACAATCTCATCTCTATACTGACTAATAACCAGATGCATTAGCAGTGAGATTATTCAAGTCTGTGGTTAACACGGTACATTCCAACTAATATAACTATTTATGAAATATATTTTTGCATGTGGCTTATTAAATTGATTGAAGATAACTAAGGTATATAGATTCTGTGGAACTTCTTTGTTTAAATGTCAGATGTGCTGAACTTGGAATAAATGTTAGATTGGTATGGTTGGTACAGTAAAAAATTATTTTGAATGAGTTCAAAACCTTATAATCTGATTGGCTGCTGAAGAGATTTTAAAGGAAAATAACATCTGAAAAACAGAGGTATGAACCCTTATTCAGTTTTTTATAGTTGAACCTCTTCAGTAAATGCCTTACTATGCTGATTTTCTTAATCAAAATTATGTCGCATATAGCCATTAGGTTGTTCATATTTTTGTAATATTTCTGCTTTGTGACCTGAGTAGATTTCTTTATATAAGAAAAGAAGGATTTTTCTGACAGTGTTCAGAGAAACTGACCTTTAGGTAAACCATCCCAGTTACAAAGAATTTGCACATTTTTTTCTAATATATTTGAGTATAACTGTGTCTGGATATAAAGAATATTGTTTCTGCCATTACTTCCTCTGGCATGTTGGTTAAGTTCCTTTCATGTAATTCAAGATGGTGCATGATGTGCTAAACTTATTCATAATACATTTGTGAAATTCAAGTGCCCATCTTCATGATATGCTCATGCTTTAATTTTCCAATTTTAGGACCTTTGGCTCAATCTAAAAATATAGAGAAATTTGAGTCAGTTTTCAAGATCTCAAGGAAGACGTTCAACTATATATGTTCTCTTGTGGAAGAAGACCTGCTGGCCAGAGCCTCAAATTTTGTTGATTTAAGTGGCAAACGTTTGTCTCTAAATGACCAAGTGGCTGTAGCTCTTAGAAGACTCAGCTCTGGTGAGTCATTGTCAACCATTGGCGACTCATTTAGGATGAACCAGTCGACTGTTTCCCAAGTAACATGGAGGTTTGTGGAAGCAATGGAAGAAAGAGGACTCCACCATCTCAGCTGGCCTTCAACTGAAACCGAAATGGAAGAGATAAAGTGCAAGTTTGAGAACTTCAGGGGCCTTTCTAATTGTTGTGGTGCCGTTGACAGCACACACATAATGATGACTTTGCCCTCTGTGGATGCTTTGAATAGTGTGTGGCTTGATCGTGAGAAGAATTGCAGCATGGTCTTGCAAGCCATTGTGGATCCTGATCTGAGATTCCGTGACATAGTTACTGGATGGCCAGGAAGTATGAGTGATGAGCAAGTGCTTCGGAGTTGTTCTTTTTTCAAACTTGGTGAAGAAGGGAAAAGGTTGAATGGGGGTAAGAAAGTACTTCCAGAAGGAACAGCAGTAAGGGAGTATATTATAGGGGATAGAGGCTTTCCCCTTTTGCCATGGCTTCTTACACCTTACGAAGGTAAAGGACTCTCAAATGTTCAAGTTGAGTTTAATAGAAGGGTTGTTGAAACTCAAATGTTGGCCAAGAAAGCATTGGCTAGGCTGAAGGAGATGTGGAGGATAATCCAAGGTGTGATGTGGAAACCTGACAAGCACAAGTTACCAAGAATTATTCTTGTCTGCTGCATACTGCATAATATAGTTATCGATATGAAGGATGAAGTACTGAATGATATGCCCTCTTGCCACCAGCATGATTCCAGATATCAAGACCAAACCTGTGAATTTGTGGACAACAATGCCACCGCTATGAGAGAGAAGCTATCTCTCTTCCTATCTGGCAAGCTGCCCAGTTGAAAGATAATCTCTTAGGACTTACATAAAATTAGATCTTTATTACCATTTTCATGTTATTTTGGTTGACAACTCAACTGACTTAGACAGAAATAAATTTTAGTTGCCTCTGCATCAGTATCTTCCCAAGGAGGAGGACACAAATTATAATTCTGGTTGAATGAGCTATTTCCTTGCTAGTTCATTACGTCTCTTAAAAAAAAGGAGTTAATCATTTATTTGGTTGCTCCTCTTTTTCATATTTTGGATCTTAGACACCAATTTGTGAAGTTGGGGAGGCACATTATATTAATCTTCCTTTGCTGGGATTTAGGTGAGTAGATTACAAATTTAATGACACAAATGATGCAAATTTGGACATTACCTCAGTTTGGACACTGCAATGTATGATCATATTTTATACCTGAAGTTGGGGTTTGGACTTAAATCAAACGATACATAGGATATTTAGAGGATTGCAGTTTTAGTGTTCTTACTCTACCTTTTAATCAAATGAAAGGGGAATGCAAACTGATAAAACAATAGCTCTATTTTAATGTGGTTTGATTTTCAAATTTATGTGCATGAAAGAAAAGTTGTCAGGAAATAATAGTTTTTTTAAATAAAGTTCAATACTTAGAAGGATTATAAATCTTGAGTCCATACAAATTTAATACCAAACTTATTTAAAAAACAAAACTAAGAGTGTTATATACAGGACAATTGTTATAGATATATATTGAATGTTATCATCCCTACATTTAAGTGCATTTTGGGTGGATGACAATTGGGTGTGTGTGGTTTGTCTATCTTCCTTTTTCTCTTTTGAAGTAAAACTTTATACTTGTTTTTATCTCTAAAATAGATACAAAATTGGTGTCATTTCATTTTCCGGTCAAGTAACAGGTATATCAAGAATTCATCCTTAAAGTATTGTATATTTTCTTCTCTTAGATGTCAAATAAAACTAACAATTATAATTACATAAATTTTAAAATAAAATATTAAATAAATTAAGAGTATGTTGATAATTTAAGATAAGGATAGGTATGATAATAAAAACAAAATAAATATACATTTAAAAACTCAGAAAACATTATATTTCAAAAAAGATCGGACTGTAAACTCTACAAATTTATATTTTAAATATTTATAATTTACAAATATTATATCATTATATATGGTGTCAATCATATAAAACATTAGAAAACATTATATTACAAAAAAGATCGGACTGTAAACTCTACAAATTTATATTTTAAATATTTATAATTTACAAATATTATATCATTATGGGTCTATTTCTCTTTTTCATAAAAAATAATAGTGTGACCTTGTTAAATTTGTGTATGCATAAGAAGAGAAAACAATAGACTTTATCATAACATGTCTGGTTGAATAAACAGTTTAATTCTCTTAGAAAAATAATGTAAGCTTTTTTTTATATAGTTTAAAATCAACATATATATATATACATTTTTAAAAAAACAAATCACCATCTGGTAATGTTGAGAAAAAACTAAAAATTAATTTATATGCATGTTAGTTTTTATCATATCTAAATTTTTTTATTTTTTATTTTTTATTTTTTATTTTCTTCTAAAATGTTAGTAGAGAAGATTATGAAACGAAAAATTAACATGAGAGAATGTATGTTCTTGCTGTAACTAAGTGAAAGAAATGCACATAAGGTTAAGGATAATTTAATACAGTATAATGTTTTAAATTATTTTAAAAGGTTAAATATGTTTTTAGTCCCTAAACTATTGGTCGTTTCTGGTTTTCGTCCCTGTTTCAAAGTAAGGTACAATTTGGTCTTCATTCTTTTCGAAACGTTCGTTTTAGTCCTCGGAATTTTGGTAAATGAGGACCAAATTTTTAAACAGTGTTTAAATGAGGGACTAAAAACATATTTAACCCTATTTTAAAATAAGAATCAAATAGATTAATTATTTTAAATATGAAAAGTAGTTACATTTTAAAAATATTTAGTTTGTTTTTTGGTAAAAGAGCAGCAACAGTTTGTCTTTGAAATATTTTTGGGAGAGTTGCTCCCTCCACCACCACCAACCGTTCCCTGCACCTTCCCATACCTTTTTTGCCCTTCTATAAAACGGATGTCAACATCCGTTTCACCTTAACAGATGTTGACATCCGTAGCATCCATTTACATATTTTATATTTTAGTTTATTATTTTTATTTAAAAAAAAAAACTTCAACGGATGTGGCCACATGTGTCACATCTGTTTAATAGATTTTTAAAAAGTTTTTTATTTATTATTTAAATAATAATATATAAATTAAAATAATAATAATTATTTTATTAAATAAAATAAAATTAATTTATAAATAATTAAATAATAATTTTTAAAAAATTAAATAATATTTATATATTAATTTAAAATATAAAAAATTAAAAAACTAAAAAGTAAAATACAAAAAAA